TGCAACAAATACACACAAATGTCACCACTCTTCATAGCCGTTACCACACGGCACTATACCTACCACCAATCATCATCATCTTCCTGCCCTTATCCCAATTACTTGGGGTCGGCGCAACACGTTTCGTTGAACACAAAATCGTGTTGCAAAAGGATTTGGCTGAATTTTACGACCGGCCGCCTACCAGACGTCAACCCTCCTTGGGAATGCTTTTGTGGTGGATTAACCGCCACCATACGGTTGGCCCTGGCTGCTTGGGTCGGGTTTATCCTCGGTCGCCTCTTACGACCCCCACGGGAAGAGAGGGGATGGTGCTATTCTACTCTGCCGGCAACACACGGCACCTACCACCAATATCTTTCTGAAAACATTTGAATGGTTTTTATTACAACTCCGAAATCACGAGCTCTTTAAGAAAAAATACCTTAGTTTGAACACAAAGCTAAAACAACTTTTTTTATCTGAATTTTGGCGATAAATGTAGGTAAATGACAAATAAAGCATCAAGTTTCTAATTTTATACTCATGAATTCGTAAAATTATTGAACTTTCTAAATAAAAACAGTAGGGCATCCTAACATTTGAAGAGCCTCAAATTCTTGATTGTTTCAAAAGAAAACAATTACCTAGGTAAGTAATTATATTTGAAATCGTTTTTAAATTCTAATGTGATAGAGTGACAAAACTACTTACAAAAACCAGATTCAATTTTGAGCTTATCTATTTGCGATATTTCAGTTAAGTTCAGTGACTGATTATACAGTCTAGTCGCTCTATTGTTACAAAAGTTTCGGGTCTGTCTTTGGACTAAAACAAAATTGAATAGCTGTGGAACTTGAGACCGCAAAGTGCAGCGTCGCCGTGGGAACCAACTTGAGCGCCATTTTGGTAAACAAGTTTAATGTATTTTATGATGATATTTTTGTACTTAGAATGAGGCGACGTAATGTTTTTGATCTCGGCTGAAAATCTGTTGACTATGATCAACCGCATTGTGGCGGTGATATCACCTACAATGCATTCCCATAGAGGGTTGACGTCAGGCAGGCCGCCGGTCATAAAACATAGCCAAAACATATTGCTACAGGATTTTGTGTTCTAACAAAACATATTGCAACGAGGAAGAAAGAAGAAGAAGATGATTAAATTGGAGGCAACGCTTTGGCAAGCGTAGTGTTGGGCGTCCTCCGACTTGAAATTGACGGCTTGTATTGTAATGTTTGTACGACGAAAACGAAAGATCGTGCCTCATGGCGTATCTAGCTTTAAAGATATTATTTTATTGGTATGGTATTATGATGTCGAAAAGTACTGAGGGTAATTGAGGACGTTATTGATTTCACGGTTAGCCTCATCGAGTTCTCTCATCAAATATCATTACACCACCTAGCCTGAAGCCACATCATACATTGCACTCCCCTACCCGATCAATCTTCAAAATTACTTACAAAGTGAATCAGCACAACAACACAAAAGCTTAAACATTTTAAAAACACTTTTCACTGAATAAAACAGCTTATCTTGAAGCACTCTACAATGTATGACATGAAACGAGGCAACCGCAAAACAAAAAGTCTCAGTCTTCAGCACGTGCTCATCGTTTATCTTCAGTTTATTTCAAAAATAGCTGCTAACAACGAAGTCTGTCTTTTTAGTCTTTTGTGTGGTGGTAGGATTATGTTTTTACTCATCAAGCTTTCTTTTATAGGGACCAACTTTTAGTGGTTATTCTGAAACTGTATGAAAGGCTAGTACCTACGAGATGCGAGATGATTCCAGGTTGACGTACTGCTTATAACTCAGTTTACCGTTCTGGCATATTAGCAATATGCCACTAAACGCGATGAACTGAAGGCCCGTCCTCCCGCCGCCATTAACTACAATTATATCAATAGCAAACTCACGTGCCCACACTGTGCACGGGAGTTTACTGCCAAAATAGGCTACAATAGCCACATGCGAGCGCATCAGCGCCGATTTGATCAGGAGTAGAAGTGGTCGCCATGGTCGAAACTGGCCGGAAAGATCATCATCATCATCATCATCATATTTGTAATGGACTATTTGAAGACTATTTGTGACTGTTGAAAAATTTTCTGCTCGTTCTCTGTGAATCTGTTAAAATCAGTGGTCAATACATACGAACTACATCTTTATTCATTAAGGGATAGTTCAAATTTAAAACTATTTTGGCATTTTTTTTTGTATATATTGTGAATATTGTGATTGCTTTCCTCTACATAACAATAAATTAACAGCATTCTATTTTGTTAAAAGAAAGTGTTATTTCATAACGAAGGCTTATTTGCGAAAACCCTTTAATCTTATATTCAAATTTCTCGCAACTTTACGATCTCGAAGCCGTGAAATGCGAATACCTTATATTTTTTATACCAGCTCTTTTAATTTTAACTGACAGTTAAATTTTAACTATCAAGTAAATTGAAACTCGGCTCTTGACCCATTTAAAGTAATTAGAAGTTTAAGGAACTTTTTGGAGCAAACCTTTAAACCTTTGGGAGTGTCGTAAAGTTTTTAAGAAGTCGTTTTTGCAGTTTTATTTACCTAGTAAACTGTTACACTTGGGATTTTTAAGTACCTAAGTTAAGGCAGGCAGAAATTTTACTAGCAACTAATACTTAATCCTGAGGATGAGCTGGAAATATTACCTACGAATTAGAGAACAGAAGCCTTATTAACGTCATAATAACGTGGATCGAAATGCTACTAATAATCACACTCATAGATATATCACACTGATGTTTAAGCCCTTTATGGGTAGCGGAATTCAATCGCTTGACAATTAGTACTAATCAGAATGCTGCTGATAATTTATACTAATAATATAGCCATGCACGTGCCACGCCTTTGAAGGGTATTATCTAAATTATTCCGTCACAGTAATTGACATGTGATGTATGGGAGATGAAAACTTGCGCCGAAAACCTGTGTCATGTTCATACAGTTTCAATTCCGCAAGTGAACTTTAGGCATAAACCTTGGCGCAAATTCAAAGATGGCATCTGTCAAACAAGTGCGACATCGCGATACTTAAAAACATTCCCATAAAATATGTATGAAACAGAAGAGACAATGCTACACAAGTGAGACTCGCTTCGCATCGATAACGGCTGACGTTTTTTAGTCTGACAAAATGTCAGTTTGATAGTCGCACCGTACGTTTATTCTGTGGAGCTTGCCCCTTACATTTTTGTCTTTCAAACACTAGACTGCATTCAAAAATGTCTGCAATTTTTAACAGGCTATGGTTTCAAAAATGAGCTATTTCCCAAGGATTTCTCCCTGTCAGCCCCTCGCTCGCTGGACAACGTGAATGTTACGTGCATTAACGCTATGTGGCAAATTTAAAAAGTTTCCGGCAACGTCACTTTGTAATTTTTTCCGAACGTAATGGAAAAATTCTGGTTGCCCACTTTGCCTGCTACGTTGAGGTTTTAGAGAAAAGTTTTAGGGGAAAATTTTGGTGAATTGCTTATCGTTTTTAATTTTGCAAAGGCACAGAATATAGCGATTTTATTCAAATTCCTAACAGTGATAATAGATATGCAATAGGCCCAAAATCACGTACTATGAAGCTGTGTCTCATGCATAAAATATTAAAGCAATTAATTGATGTCCAATGGAATGCGTAAAGTTCGAACAATTGCGGTTCTTTTTAGATAAATCCAATGGATCCGATGCTAGATAAGTGATTAATTGGGTATCTAAATAAATTTTGTCACGTACGTAAAGAACTTTGACGTCATTATCATAACAAGTATAACAACCCCGCTTAACAGACTCGCCGTGCGGTGCCGGCTATTATATTGACCTGGCATCACATGGCCATAGATATCACATGGCATCTCATTTGTACTTTGGACGTTTATTAGGTTGGCGGGCACAATTAAAAAAGCAACACTGCTCTGAAATAACGAAAAGAAAAGCAAGTTTTTTTTGTGGGATGAATGAACCCTTCATTCAAATCATGTGGGCCACTAAAGGAGGGTTAAAAAAACAAAACGAGGACCGAAAAAACGGAATATTTTGGACGGCACTCTTGCCAACATTGTTTTAAAACCATTCATTCATACATTCCTTTACTTTTTCGCCACTGCCTCCGTGGTCTAGCCGTATGAGAGTTTGACTCAGGATCTGAAGGTGCCAGGTTTAATTGACAGCGGAACACACAAAATAGATAAGAATCAATCTGTGAATTTTGAAATTGATATGAGTTTGGTTAGGCCATCGTTAGCTGAACCAACATTTATTGCAAAACGTTCTGGTGGCATATGGTGGTTATTTATGGCTGCTTAGACGGCTGTTATGATATACAACCATGACAGAGGCCTTCCAGTAGTAGTAATCGGTTCAAAATGTGACCTTAGGCTTCAAACCTGTTTGCAGGGTTGTACGTAGACTCTTTGTCCCCCATGACAGCCGATATGACGCAGTAGTTATGCTTCAAAGGGCCGTTAAGCCGTCGCTCCCGTTTCTTGTCTTTGATTACTTCGACGGCAGTTGTTACACAGCTAAGTCAGAGGCCTGCTACTTGCCGTAGGCGGTTGTAAAACTCTGACACCAGAGTTCATTGGGTCGTTGAACGACTTGGTGTCCCACACAAAGAGAGAGATGACAAAAGATATTATATTCGTTCACTCTTCGCTAAAGCCCTCAGGCGTTCGTACCCTCACATCAATTTTAACATAATTTTTGGCGCAAAAGTTTGCCACATTTGAAATTCAAATTTCTCGTGTACTCGTAAGTGCTATTCAAATATATGTGAATTGGTGAATAAAAGTAAGTTATTAATCATATTATGTACGTTTCGTATTACGTACATGAGTAACAGGCAAAAGTTTTAATGTTAGAGCATAATGAAGGAACATTAATGGAATTTCACGATTTTTTTTATTGTACGTTACCTAAGTAGGTACTTACTTGCTCCATTAGTATATTGCTAGAAGCAAATGGATCACAATTTCGCCCCCTGGGTTAGAGCCTCCGTGTTGTAGCGGTCAACACGTCTGACCGCCGGCTTGTCAGAAGACGTGGGTTCGAATCCCATCGGTGGCGTGAATTTTTTCCGCTTGCTTCGTTTGTATTAACTTTGTAACCAAAAAGTTAAAATCCATTAGTATCTGTTTTTGTGGTACGGCTATTTTACATACAGATAAATTAAAAGAAATTTGTTAAAACAGAAATTTTCTTCCACTGCGGTTTTTGCCGTGTGGTGCTCGCTTAGAATAGCATCAGCTGGCAGCCCATATCTTTCCCGTAGTTGCGATTATATGACAATTGAAACATTCGCGAAGATCGTAGCTGTCATATTCAAACTTGTAAAAAATACGTACCTACAAATATCACGCCTGAATCTCTTGCGGGATAGTCAGAGCGTATAAAACGACCATTTACACTACGTCTGACAAAAGTTTAAGTCATTTAAAAGATGTGTATCACTGTATCATGTATCAGCACAGTCAGATTGTCAGCGTGTCGCCTCAAATTGCAATACACATCAACTCCCAAATCCCTTAGTCGCTTTTTACTATAGCAACAGAAATAGGTGATGCTATTCTCAGCCGACATCACACAGCACTATAACCTATAAATATATTTAGTACCTAATGTTTGTACCTGTAAAAGTAGCCTTATTATTAAAGTACGTATTGTTCGGTAAACGTAAATAGACTGCTCTATTTATTCAATCATTCTATATCCAATAATAATTTATTGTTCTATTAGTATATTATGTTTCATAAAACAAAATAATGAGGCAGTTCTTAGAATAGAAATAAATACTTTAATTTGAAACTGGACAGCTGTATCATCCAAATATAAATACCCTTCAGTTTATAAAAAAGTCCAAATAAATCTCTTTTTAAAAGCTTTTATTTAACTTGCAGTGTATGTAAGTATGTAAGTAAGTAAGTAAATATGTTTGTTCGGGGCAAATCTTGCAACTCAATTTAGAAGCAGATATCTTCAACCGATTGAGCTGAAATTTTGTATACACGTTTAGTTCGGATGACAATGCATGATAAGTTATATAACGTCATTCTAAATCTATCATGGCGGAATATCCAAGATGGCCGACAAGTAATTTTTGACGCACTCCTACAATATGGGTGTCAAATGAAAGGTCTTGCTGAGTACAATTCAGAAAATAATATGGCGGACATCTAAAGATGGCCTTTTAAGATAATTTACAATATGAGTGTCAGATGAAAGGTATTGCTGAGAATTACGTATTCGAATTATAAGTTGACGTCACTCTAAATTAACTATGGTGGACTTCTTAAGATGGCAGAATATCATTTTATGCTTTTTACAATATGGATGTCAAATGAAAGGAATTTTTCAGAATAACTCGAAAAATAAAGTGATGTTTACGTCACTCATAATCATAACAAAACCTGATATGGCGGACTTAAAGTAAGATGGCGTATTAAGTTTATTATGTTTTCTTACTAAGTGGGTACAAACACAGAAAAATTACAGGTTATAGTGTGAGCTAAATGACGTCGCTTCGCAAGATTTTAAATTTAGATTTGAGTTGTTATATTGTGTTGGGGTTTTTAGTCTTCTGTTCATGGCACTGTCAATGAAGAATGTTGTCAATTTATACCTATTATGTTCATGAATGCAATAAGTAGGTAGGTAGGTTCTATCGCACAACGTACATAATCAACTATGGCATAAAGTATTTGTTTTCCAGAGATTGCTAAAAGTAAAAATAAATTATAAGTAAAAAACATTTTTAAAACAAGCTTTTATTTGGATTCGCTAAAAAGCATAAAATCATCTATTTACTAAAGCTTTAACTTGTTACTTATAATGGCATTAAATCAACGTCTTCATAATTTATACGATATAAAAGCTTGTCGCGAGATTTAACCTGTGTACCTATATAATAATAAATAAATTAGGTAACCAGTGTAAATGATCTTGAACAAACTTTTAACCTAACACCACACGAGTACCTACTTAAATCTCGCGACAAGCTTTTATATCGCATAAATTATGAAGACGTTGATTTAATGCCATTATAAGTAACAAGTTAAAGCTTTAGTAAATAGATTATTTTATGCTTTTTAGCGAATCCAAATAAAAGCTTGTTTTAAAAATGTTTTTTACTTATAATTTATTATAATTCAAAACGATTGTAACCTAAAATTATCCAATTATTTCGTGAACTTTTATAAAGAGGGTTCAGTGTGTCAGGTGTACTTAGTTATTCATGTTTAAAAACAGTAGCAAGTTTAATGAATTTCTGAACAAAAGCATTTTAAGTACGACCGAAAAAAGACAGAATTGCACAAACATAAACCCTTATCTATCACACACTCGATTTAAACTTTTATCACAATCTCAATACGAATGTAACCCTTGCGAGGCAGGTAGAGCAGTAAAAGTAAGTAAAGTCATCTCGCCACGTTTGAAAAATATTTAAGGGTCATATTTAACTACTAGCTGCCCGGCAGCGGTTTCACCCGCTGCAACCTAATTATTCCGCGGGAAAAAAGCATTACTCACAAAGAGATGTCGCTGTTAGTTTTCGGCGAAAACGTTAACGTTCGGCTCAGTAACGCTCAGTAACTTTGCAAAAATATTGGAATATGCGTGATCCCGTAGGAATAAGACATTTTCCCGTGGTAAAAAGTAGCCTATGTGTTATTCTAGTTACTCTTCTATATTTGTGCAAAATTTGATGTCAATCTAATCAACCGTTTTAGCGTAACGTCGTAACAAACACACACACACAAACATCCGCCTTTATAATATTAGTAGGATAGGATAGTGACGGGATTTCCGCCCTTAGCCTGAAACTCCTAGTCAAAACATAAATTATAGGCGAATTTATGCAAATCAGATACTTCTAAATGAAACTCGATTGCAAGTATCATTTCCTAGTACACCTAGGTATCAAGAGCGAACTTTAAACTCACAATCAAACATTTCTACAGTAAGATCGTTGCAGTTGTACAAAGTAGAACTTAGACAGTCTGAATATTGGTGCTGAATAAGACTCGAGTCTTATGGAATATTTTCTGAGCGGCGTCGATGTCTACAAACAATACAGAGAGATAGACATACTTTGATGCTGCATCAAGACATTTATGAAAAAGCTACAAATAAAGCTAGCGCCACAGAGTAGACGTGAGACGTAAGGCGTACGATGGTATCTGTCAAACAAGTGATCGTTGGAGACGTGAAACGTGCGACACCGCGATGCTTGAAACCGTTTCCATAAAAAAATATGAAACAGAATAAACAAAGCTATATATAGAGAGACGCGCGTCCCATTGATAACGACTGACGATCACTTGTATAACAAATTTAATGTTCCGCGTAGCTTCGCGGGTCTGTTCTGTGGAGCTTGCCCCTAAGAGAGGGACTGGGAGTGTCACTTCTTAGCGAGTAGCTATACTTTTATTATTAAACGAACAAGTATCACTCATTATGTAGGTTTACGCGACTTACTTGTTATTTAGTTGGTAGAAGGTGTAGCCCTCTACGTTTCGGCTGGTTACGACAGCCTTCTTCTTGGAGGACGACAATCACACACGCGCAACCGCCAGTTGCGATTGTCGACTGGCTCGCGCCGCGGCTCGCTGTGCGCGCGCTGAGATGATAGAGGGCGCTGCAGTAGCCGCAGTTGGTGGCTCTTGTGGTGGTTGCGTTTGATTTGTGGTTGTAGAGTCATCGAAAAGTCCCGAACAAACTACGCTAACTATATCGTCACTTCTTATTTTGTCTACTGACACCGGTAATACTGTTTTTAGCACTGGCTTCCATGACGGCGATATCGACCAACCACTATCTCTATTAAAATTCGGACGACGGCTTATTTCAATGGCTTCACGAACTTTGCGGGGAACATAGAACTTCTCCCTAGCCAGAATAGCTGTCTTGTCGAACCGAATATAGTGGTTAGTGTCCGTATCCAGCGAGTGTTCAGCTACTGCCGACGTCACCGTGTTACAGTTCTTCACGCTACGTATGTGCTCTGTAATTCTTGTAGAGACGTGCCGCTGTGTTTCCCCGATGTATGAAACGTAGAGGGCTACACCTTCTACCAACTAAATAACAAGTAAGTCGCGTAAACCTACATAATGAGTAGCTATACATTAGTAATTTTTGACTGTAGAGACTTAAAGTGCAATAAAAAGACTCAAGTCTGCAGAAGCACTAGCCTGAATTCTCCCAAGAAGCAGGCTAATTGGTCTCGACACCATCCCTTATGTTTGTGTTAGATAATTTCGACAGAAGTGTTGAAGCCACGTTGAAGGTTGTTAACTTAGTTTACTCTACCAAGCTAGCTAGATGACTGCCGAAAGTGAATTTATTTGCATGAAATATGAGATTGATTGCAAAAAGGGTAGCGCTTAAATGTCCTACTATCAAGACAATCGCGCCTATATCCCTTGCGGGGTAGAAAGAGCTAGAACGGCCATTAAAACCACGTCTCACAAAAGTGATTTAAAAGACGTATGCGTGTGTATCATAACAGTGGAAGTTGTCAGCATGTCTTCTAAAATTGCACATCATCTCTCAAATCCTTTAGTCGCCTCTTACGACATTCACAGGAAAGAGGTGATGCTATTCTAAGCAAGCACCACACCGCAAAAGTTTAAAAGAATGGCAAGGAAAAGTAGAGGCCTACTACTTGTACTAGGCGGTTATAAAACTCTGATAGCAGGTTTCATCGGGTCGTTGGGCGACTGATGTCTCCCAAAGGAAAAGAGAGAGAGAGGAAAAATAAAAATGGGATAATAATACACTCAAAGCTTTGATAAATAAAATTAATTCCTTCACAGATAGGTAGATAGTTGTTAAGCTTTTCAGTGAAATAACTTTTCCATTCCTGTAATTAACTGGAAACTAAACTGTAATTAAAAATAAACAAGAATTTTAATTGGCCATGACTAGAGGGAAATCGCTTTAATTTGTCTAATAGAGGGGTGTGCTACTGGGGAGTATGTTTGGACTCAATTTGTTAATTGTCTATGTTGTAGAAATGGGTCCAAGGTTAAGGTCAGAAAGACGTGTACTTTTCAGCTACACTGAAGTGT